TTTTTTCGCCGAAACGATTCGATGCTTGAAATTGATTGAAAACTCAATAATAAAACGATTTAATCGATTTACTCGAAAAATTCGAGATATGTTCGTTTATCAAAATGATATATTTTAAAATAAAAGGTTTCAGGTGTCAATTGTTTTAATTCGTATTTCTATCAAACAACCTAAATCTTTGGCGATTCCAAATAATATGATTGATTATTTTGTAAATGCCCTGCATTTAAAATGTTCCATTTTAAATCTAGGCCAATATTTATTTCGTGGTCATGCTTTTTTTGTATGAATTCTTTCCAGCTTTTGGATCGATATGCTGAGACGGCTTTCTTCAAAAACAATTGATGCGCATAACTATGGTTACATATATCCTTTTTGATCGGTATACTGCCGCAATTTGGTTGATCGGTTCCATCGTTTGGGTATATATCAATGTGGCCTATCTTTCTCGCATATCCAAATCTTCGAACATTGGTGTGAATCACTTGCAGTATTTTGGCATCCTTTTTTGAAATGGGCTGAAGTTGATCCCAATTTTCGAAGCATGGTTTTGCCGCATCTAAAGCAATTATATGTTCAATTTTCTTAACATTTTCAGCCAAATAATGGCCCATGTTCCCAATAACGTGCGCCCCCAAACTATGTCCGATGCCAATCAATGTCGACACATCGATTGCACCATCCTTTGCCAATGCTTCCATCAAAATGCCCGTCTTCTCTCCAACCTTCGGAGCATTATGTGCATATGTTCCGTAGCTTGTCAGCAGATTCAATATACTATCGTGGTTACCATTAAGTGTGTCCCAGTTTACATAGATAATTGTATCACTTGATCGAACTCGGTCTTTCATATTGGATGCAAATTCATAAGAATTTGAACCCATGCCACCCGAAATTACGGTGATGCTTCGATTTAAGCTTTTTTTGAACTTTTCGTACGCTTCAGTTTTGTCTGACACATCTTTTAATGATATGCTTCCACCGTTGAAGGTACCAAATCTTAATTCTTTTTCAATTTTTTCAGTTTCTACTGAATAGCCTGAACATAGAGATATCGCAAATTTCTCACTATCATAGGGATCTATCACAGGATAAGAGTTTGGCGGAACTATTGAATACAAATAGAAAATTTAATGTTATTTTCGGAATAATTAAAAAAATAGAGAAATATTTTATCAAAGGAAAAAAGAGAAACCATAAAACTGGTCGAACAGTAAGTGAACAAAAACAGCCATTAATATAAAATTGGAAAATCGCAACTTGACATATATTGAAGAATATTTTTAGTGAAGATAATATGATTTATTATAAAGTTGACATTAACATGTCTATATCGACGTATATATTAGCATCATTTTTTTCGCATTCCTCCATTCTTTGATTTTCACATTGCATACGAATTATTATATAAAAGATAACAGTATATATAAGCAGTACAAAAGACAATCGCAACATTTATCGAAAATCCGTTCTACCTAGTATAAAAAGAAAGTGAGGAGGAAAAAAGGTCTTTATATTCGAAAATCATTCCCTCCATTGTTTTTAAAATCTGTAACACGATTTTAAGGTGGAAGCAAAGGCCTGGTTTTCAGGTGAAACCAAGGCAAAACAAAGACTAGGGTAGGATGTAATCCGCACTTTAAAGTGAAAATATCATGCTTTCTTCGTAGAGTGACTTCAAAAATTTCCAGTCAAAAATAACAAGAGAATAAACGATATGTAAACAGTGTATGTAAATGAGTACTTACGTTCCTCAGCTTTATTGAGAGGTTTGATAATTAGTGTTTGAGTTTCCATGTTGTGACCACTTTTTTTATTTTTATTCTTGGACTTTTGCGCATTTTTTTTATCATTTTTATGGTCCGATTTCTTGGGCGCACAATCAATAATCTGTAAATGGAAAAATTTGTATTAAATTATATTATCAAGTTCAAAATTAAGTCAATTGTATAATGCTGCAAAATAATTTAAAAAGCGACGTCGACCAAAAAATGTACACGTACAAGATATAAGTTAAACAAAACAAAAGCAAATATGAGCCACTTCATTTTGCCAACTTTGAATCGTTTACTTTCGGAAAGTGAAATGCTTTCCTTCGTCAAAAGTTCCCCATTTATACAATTAAAAATCTCCCACACTCAAACAAATAAAGGCGTTGGCAGTTGAAAAGTATTTATATTTTGAGAATGGAATTTCCTGGTCTTTTCCATGTGATGGAATGTTTCATTATCAGTATAGAAGATGCGAAATAAACGTTTCGAGAAACATCGATAACAGTATAATATATATTATCGAAATATTTATGGCATATTATTATTAATTATTCTGTATGATACAGTAAAGATTAATGTTTTTCGAGCTAGCACGTCTGAGACGAGTGTTATATATGCACTATGTAATCGAATGGAAAAAGGAATATAAAACCCTTTCATCGATGACCATTTAGATATTCGTCCTTTTTCGTCCTAGGCTAACCAGTAAACGTTCAAATATGTTACATCCCGATTTTCGATTTTTTGCATTTAATCGGTAGAGAGGCCCAAAAAAAAATATAATTTGAACCATTTTTGCCCAAACTCATATTTGGCTTTTTTATGCCCCTCGTTTCCATGGGTACCATTAACTGATCACGATGATCTATGTCATAAACGATTGGAGATAATCGATTACTTTCTTGGGCAAAGTTGTAGCCCCTAAGGAGACGAACAAATTTTTATATCACGGCAATTTATTATATTTATACCACCATTCATGTTACAGTTGGGACTAATAACATCAGACTAGTAAGATAGTTATTACTTATTACTAATAATTTCTAATAACTGGTAATAAGATGTCATCTTATTAGTGTAATAAGTATAGTTATTAGAATGTTACTAGTCAAAAGACTAATAAGATATGCATGTATCTTATTAGTATAGTTATTAGTATAGTTTCTCATCAGTATATTTCGATTGGTGTTGCTAGAAGCAAATACTTCTGAAACACGAAAAACAGCAGAAAGGCAGTCAAAATGCCAAAAAAACTCCCGGTCGATTTTTCTCGCATTTCCGATGGGAAATCGGCAAAAATAAGCAAATTTGTGTTCACTAAGTGAACACCATACAGCCAACTACTTTTTGGCCTAAAATCAAAATCCGGTGGAATTTGGCTGATTGGTGGACTTTCAGGATTTGGCCTGGTTTCTAGAACTTCCAAAATGTAATTCCATATATATGTATTATTCAAGTAATTTAAAAGTTAAAAAGGAAACATAAAAGACGCGACTTTCATGGGAAGAAACATATTGGCCCATTTGACCTTTAAAATGTCAAAATCTGGTTTTAAGGATCCAAGGGATGGTCGGAGGGTCATGCAATGTAAGGTGTCTTAAGAGTAATTTTTTACGAGGAATCCAAAAATGGGGTCAACTTTTGTTTTGGGTCGGTTTTTGACCCCTTTTGGGCGATTTCATTTTTTTCCGAAAATTCGGACCCGTGCCTCCCGAACTGGGTCGCCCCGGGGGTCCGGGTCAATATGTCAGTGTATAGTACATGGATTGACGTAACTTTCTTGGGAAGAAACATATTTGCCCATTTGACCTTTAAGAGGTCAAAATCCGCTTGATAACTTTTATGTTTCCCTTAAAGGTCATTT